CCTGCATATGGCAAATCAGGGAGTCCTGCAGTAAATCAGGGAGTATTTGACTCCGGACTCCCGTTAATTTTGTACCCTGCAGTAGTACTGCTACAGTTAGCTCTAGTACTCTAGTCTAGTACTATCTCTCGTTGCCAGTACCACAGGTAGTGCACTGTGACGTGTCAGTGTACACAGGCATATATACATAATTGTAAAATCAAGCACACGTAATAAATGAGTGTACATGATTGAATACCAGTAAATTTATACACTACTTAATTTTTTGACCTTTGCATGCATGTGGTGCTAATACTGTTCGTTGCACACACTATACCTATTAAATCTGATGCTTGTAGTTGTACAAAACTGATGTTTTTTTTTCTTTTTACCAGCGTTTCCAAAATCTGAAGGAGAAGATGGTAAAGACATGGAAGAGGTGAATACTATAGAATGAGCATGGTAGTATATACATCAGCGATCAAAGCTTGTTATTGAGTTTGAGTTGCTTTATGGCTGAGATCTCCAGAAGCAACGTAGTTCTGCGTAATTAAAAAAACGGTAAAAAAATGTGTATATTGCTGCAAAAGTCGTTGTGTTTTCTTTACCAGATTGGTATATTTTATAACCAGTGCATTGTATGTAGTTCATATCAGGAGGACATTAATGTGAGTCTTGCATGCTCATATTTGTCGTGTTAGCCAGCGTAAGTGATCCTTGACCGTCTTCCCATAGATTTTCTGGAAGGCGCAGAGGTTACACCTGATACACTCTGCAGTGCTCATGGCTGCTCCTCTTACACGCAGACCTTGCCTGGTAAGTGACCGTGCCTCGGCTTTAACAGAGCTCCCTCTGGATGTTTTAAAATTTGAGCCAAAACTTGAGCCACCAAAGTTATTTTTTAGCCACCAATGAAAAACTACAGTCACTGCAGTGTTCACTTTAATCGTATGTGCTAAGCAAGGCGTAAACAGGTGATAGGTATGGGAAAAGATGTGTACGAAAACTTTTAACAGCACGACACTGCAATTTGATGATTTAATTATTCAAACGTAATTTTCACAGAAGTTAAATTATCCGCCATTTGTATTCGCCACTTAGTGTAGTAAAATCGCCACTGTTATTTATTTATCGCATTTTGCGAAGGTGGCGATAACTAGCGGTAGCCCTGCTTTAACACCCGAACAAGATTGCAGAAAACTAGGTAACAGTGTCATGTGTGTGGATAATCATTAATGGTTGTGGGTCTTAACCTCTGCAGGAATTTTTTTCGGGTTTTTATCTCAGCAATTTTCACGGCTTACCGCAGGTACATTTAATGATGCATACCGCCACGTTGTAAACGATTTTGCAACCTCTCTCTCTCTCTCTCTCTCTCTCTCTCTCTCTCTCTTCCCCTCTCGCCTTCTCCCTCTCGATCCCACCTTCTCTCGTCCCCTCCTTCCCCCTTTTCTCTCTCCCTCTCTCTCTCTTCCTCTCCCTCTCTCTTTCTCTATTTCTCTCCCTCTCTCTCTCCCTCTCGTTCCCACCTCTCTTATTCTCCCTCTCTCTCTCTCTCTCTCTCTCTCTATGGCTCGTCTCGCGCCTTATCCCCGACTATCGTGCCACGTTTCAGACCGGAGGACTCTGGTCGCTCGGCATTATCCTATTTTCCGGGAGCCTCTACGCACGCTCGCTGACCGGTAACGCCACCTACGGGCGATTCGCGCCGATCGGCGGCACCATCCTCATCTTCGGCTGGCTCGCGGTCGCTCTGTGATCTGCCGCAACGACCCGACGCCGTCGCCGTGGTGACCCGATAGAGAAGCTGCGAGAGAGGTGATCCGTCTACGTCGAATCGGTGGAGGAGCATAGCATGCATGGCTGCACTTCTCTGTGTTGAGCTGGGATGGCAGCCGATGCACCAGAGGTTGCCAGTGTGAACATTACGCGCGATTGCTTCGTGCGGCCGGGAACAGAGGCACCGGACTGTAGCGTTAACTTTTCTGTTATCACAATCGATCAAATGTAGTCAATGAATGCGATGGAAGTAAGAATGGTTGAAGCGTGAACATTCATTGTTCCCGGGGTGGGGTGAGGGAGATTATTGTGGCTTTATAGCTTCAGTTAGTGTTGTTATTTGTGTATTTTTGAATTGATTTGTGAAATGATTGTTGAATTGATGTGATTTGTGTATTGAAAATACATTTTGTTATGATCGTATTGTGCACATTTACAAATAAATGTTAGTGAAGATTTAAAATTGTTTCTTTGCAATAATTCACAAATATATAATCATATAATATCAAGAGCAAATAATAGTAGCAAGGTATTATTAGCTCTTGATAATATATAATATATAAGGTACATAGTTATGCACTAGTAATTATATCGTTACACTGAGTTCCAGAGATTTAGAAAAAGCGGAGCGCGCAAATAAGTATGGCAGTGGCTGTTGGTACAACGTGCAGTAACACGTTTTGAGGTTATAGCATTGTGTGTGTGTGTGTGTGTGTGTGCGTGCGTGCGTGCGTGCGTGCGTGCGTGCGTGCGTGTGTATCTGAATATAGGCAGACAATTCGTGAAAGATGTCAGTCGAATGGCTAGAGCGGCGTAAGGAAGGTTAATAACGATCTAACATTGACATTAAGCTTGTAATTAGTTTTGCTTTCGGCTAGCTAGGTCCGCCGCTACACATTGTCATGGTCACGGCTATAGGTTCGTTGTTCACGGTGCCACGCCAGTTGCAAGGTTAGTCCACACTCGGCCGGATCTGCTGTGAGTCATTCGCAACAGTCTGTTCAAACATTGAACTAGCCTCAGAGGTGTGGACAACGTCTTTATGCGTTGACATTTGCTGCGAGCTATATGTGTGTCTTATGTACGGCGCATACGAATGCTGTTCGTAGATGTATTATTCACGCGTACAATGAACGCACGACGCACGACATCACATACAGAGCAAGGTCACGGTGAAGGGTTACACTACAACAGTGACGAAACGACGCAATTAAATTTACTAAGATAAAAAACAAACAAACTACGTATATAATAATAACCATATAATTATTAGCTCTTGATATAACGCAAGGTCATCTGTTTTGGTTGCAAAATAACGTCACCCAGTTTATGTAGGCCTATATATAGTATATAGTATCAAGAGCTAATAATACCTCTATTAATCTATTATCTCTAATAATCTAGGTATTATTAGCTCTTGATAGTATCTATAGGCCTATATATATATATATATATATATATATATAGTACGTACTACTAC